TGGGGTTTTGGGAAGATGGTCGGGGTATTTATGGGGAAGTTGAAGTGTTATGGTGGGATGAGGATTCTTGAGTTGATAAGGATGAACACAGGTCTAAATTCCAGTCTAGTTGGAAGTCCTGTCGCGATGAAAATTCTACCTGGGCGTGGATTGGATTTTTTGGAACACAAATTGGGGCCCGTAATTATTAAATTTGTTTTACTCTCTCGCGCTGACGACTTCTCGCAGCCCCACTAGTGGGGGACTGATGATGGAATAATCACGGAGCAGGATCGGGGCGGAATAATACGGACTGGGTCGGACCCGGCACCCAACCGCGATGCGTGGCGAACCGCCCCGCGGTCAGCCAACCACCCCGGGGTCAGCCCAGCAGGGGGTCGGCTCGGTGTCGGCCGACCCCCACGGGCTCGGCCACGTGGGCTCGGCCGAGCCCATGGTCGGCCCGAAGGTCGGCCAAGGACTGGGTCCTCGCGTGGAGCGAGTCCCGCGACACAGGCCGCGGCTCCTCCCGCGACCCCAGGGTCCATAGCGGCCGGGGGGTATATAAACACCCCCCGGTGTCTTAATCAATCATCTTCTACCTTCATACAATACTTGTAACGTTATTTCACGTCCCGAACCTCTGTAATAGCATTATTCGCTCAATTAATATAATATTTATCGTTTTATCATTCGTTCATCACATTCGACATATATTCGGGTTGTATAATCCGGACCCCCGGGTTCATATAATCCATCAACTCCGAAGTATTTTTTTATAATTTAAAGATGAAGTATTTATCTGGCAAGAGAATCCAATAGTTTATTAACAAATTAATACAAACTAACAACTAAAATTTAAAACTAATGGCTAGTTGTGTGCAAATTATTGTGTGGATCATGGTCCACACAATTGTGTGGACCATAAATATCAGGTACATTTTTAATATATTAAAAGTACATTATTTTTGTACTGAAGGTATATTAAATAAAATAATGTATCATTAGTATATTAAAAATGTACTTTCAAAAAATGTACCTTACATACATAAAAAAATGTACCCTTAGTATATTAAAAATATACTTTTTATTTATGATTCACACAGTTGTGTAGATCATGGTCCATGTAATAATGATTACTAGTTGGGGCCTTGGTTGGATCGGAGCAGAAGCCAAAGGTGAGAGTTGTCGATCATTATTGCATGGACCATGGTCCACACAATTGTGTGGACCATAAATAAAACGTACATTTTTAATATACATTATTTATGTATGTAAGGTACATTTTTTGAAAGTACATTATTTTATATAATGTACCTTTAGTACAAAAATAATGTACTTTAGATATATTAAAAATGTATCTAATATTCATGGTGCATATTATCCCGTAATTTTATTCTCTTTCAGGCTTGTGTGGCTTTTTCTTTTCTCTTTTAATATTTTTTTAATTAATGACACATGACTTGCAAGCTTTCAACATATAAAAGCTTGCAAGCCTGGAAAAGGTTGTGCCATATGGTAGTGTTTTCATTACTTTTATTAGTAAAGACAACGATTTAAAACTGTTTTCTATGTGCGTGACTTTTAACAACATCAATTTCAACAATATTTAATAAACAACGGTTTTTAACTGTTGTCTTTTCTAGAAAAGACAACGATTAAAAATCGATGTTTATGTGCGTGACTTTTAATAACACTGGTTTCGACAACACTCAATAGACAATGGTTTTTAACCGTTGTCTTTTCTAGAAAAGACAACGGTTAAAAACCGTTGTCTATATGCGTGTCTTTTAACAACACCGGTTTCAACAACGCTCAATAGACAACGGTTATTTAACCGTTGTCTATGCGTGGAACTTACAACGACACTAGCTTCAACAACAGAAATTATACCTCTACGACAACGGTGAAAAATTGTTGTCTATGTGCATTTTTCTTGTAGTGTTAATTCGTTATTATAGTATTATTATTATTGAATGTGATGTGTAAGTGAAAGTATATGAAACCCCTTGTGAAAGTGAAAGAGTATTACAGAAATGTAAAGAAAATAATTAATGAATTAAAAATTCAATGATATGGAACCACTTTTAAAAGTGAAAAAATAGAGATAAAGATAATCTTACAAATGCCTTGGAATTGGTTATATGGAGTGTGTTCGTGACTTAAAATGTGAAGGGCTAAATAACCCGTAGTTGAAGACGAGAAGTGATAGAGTGACCTATATATACTATATGCAATAGTTATGCTGTGCAACCGAATGCACCATGCGCATGGTGCATACGATGCAAAATGACGTCGTTTTGACTAAAAATGCGCGTCTCACTTAAAAAAAAAAAAAAAAATTCAGGTTCGATTCTCGGCAATAGTATTATTGTGGATATATAGTTTTGAATTTCTGGATATATAGTTATGAATTTATGGATATTTAGTTCATTCATTGTGGATATTTAGTTCATTCATTGTAGATATTTACTTCATTCATTCACTGTGGATATATAGTTATTAATTTATGGATATATAGTTATGAATTTATGGATATATAAAAATGCTATTGCCGGGAATCGAACCTGATTTTTTTTTTTAAGTGGGACGCGCGTTTTTTAACCAAAACGACGTCGTTTTGCATCGTATGCACCATGCGCATGGTGCATTCGGTTGCACAACATAATTTGCGTACTATATGTGACTAAGCTGAGTATGATTGTACACATTCTAAAATACATTGGGTTGGGCTCAATAAGCTAATTAGGGGTGTTCAATCAGTTAACCGTTCGGATAATTGAACCGTTTTAACCGAATCGATTTAAACGAAGTTTTTCAACATTTAACTGTTAACCGAATCGAAATATGTGTTACCGAATTCATCGAACCGAAACTTTTTTTCGGTTAACCGATTAACCGAACTTTTTTAAGTTAAAATTTAAAATCCTAAAAATAACGCCTAAAATAATAAATTAAATTAAAATAATACATATCATAATAAATTCAAAACAAAATACACAAAAACAATACCGTAACAACATTATATATACATCAAGGTTGAAAAAATCGCTAGGCGCCTGGGGACCGCCTAGGGCGCCTAGAGCGCCTAGGCGGGCGCCTAGGTGGTCGACCGCCTAGCGCCTAGGCGCTGATTAATCGGCGCCTAGCCCCAATTTTTGCAACACTGATATATATATATATATATATATATATATATATATATATATATATATATATATATATATATTAAAAAGTACGGTTAACCGAAACTTTCGAACCAAATTAACCGTTAACCGAACTCTGAAAAAACTTTTAACCATTAACCGAAACGAAAAAGTTTGGTTAAAAAACGGTTAACCGAACTTTGTCGGTTAACCGAAAATTATCCGAAGTTTGCACATCCCTAAAGCCAATAAGGTATGTTAATAAGTAATAACCCCAGCACTAACATTAAGTTTGTTTGGATCGCACTTAGGAATTGAAATCGGGATGTGAATCAAATATTTAATAATATTTTACTTTGTTGGTAGTAGGATGGAATTGAAATGATTATCAATATTGATGCATGTTTGGTTGTGCATGACAGACCCTATAATGTAATAAAGTTTTAAAAATATTAAAAAAAAAATAAAATCAAGGCAATTGATCCTAATATGATGACATTCAAAGCATCAATATAAACAAAAAACAATCAAAACAAAAATCTAAATGTACTAATCCAAACTTAAAAATTAGATAACTAATAAGATAAAATGATAACCCTTTTTAATTAGGAAATGAGATGGTAATCAAATTTCATTCCATGCATTAAAAAAATCTGTCTCACTTGTCTAAGTTTTCTAGACAATATAGAGGCTCCATCATTTGAATACATCCTTTTAAAACAAAAATCAGCATACACATACTTTCTCCTAGTGTCAAACACAGTTGCAACACACAACATATTCATTTTCTCCACATTTCTCCAATACTTGTCAAATTTATCCTTCATTCTTTGTGCCATTGAACTAAATTGTGGATCCCGACTCCTTATCCAATCACGCAAAATAGAATACACTTCACAAATTTCAGGAAAATGCGTTTGAAGTAATATACAATGAGGCAGGAACTTTCATCTTAAGATCATAGAAATGTCTCAAAACATGCACAACCTCCTCTAACATTTTCCCAATCATCATGATCCAGAATTCCTTCACTAATCAAAAGATCATGACCATAATGTTGATCAAGCTCCTCAAATCTTTCAAAGCCCCTCTCAAATTTTTGTGCCAAATCTAACATAAGGTAAGCAGAATTCCACCTAGTGCATACATCTAAGCTTAACAACGCCTTGGATTGAATATTCTCCATTTGAATACATTCTTTAAACTTTTGCAATCTAGATGGTGATTGCCTCACGTATCTCACTCCCCTCTAACACGAAAAATTGATTCATTATTTTCCTTTAAAGCATCATTGACAACCAAATTAACAATGTGTGCAATGTATCTCACGTGAAGAAATTTTCCATCTAAAATAGAACTACCCAAATTATTGAACTTCTTCCTCAAATACCTTGTAGCAACATCATTTGAACTAGCATTGTCTATTGTGATGGTGAAAACATTATCAAATCCCCAATCACGCAAGCATTTCTCAATTGCCTTAACAATATCTTCCCCATATGACTAGAAATAGGGCAAAAATTAAGTATTCTTTTGTGCAATTTCCAATCATTATCAATATAATGCACAGTAAGACACATATAATTCACTCTTTGCAATGATGTCCAACTATCAGTGGTAAAAGAAACACTAGCACAAGAAGATTGCAAAAAGTTAGATATATTTTTCTTTTCATCCAAATAAATGTTGTAACAATCTCTAGCAACAGCCCATTGTGATGGCATACGAAACCTAGGACAAGCCGTGAATATGCATTTTCTAAACCCCCTTACTTCTACAAACCTAAAGGGCAATTTATCAATTATGATCATTTTAGCTACAGACCTTCTATCAACACAATATATATCATCACAATACTTACTGTCAACACAATAATAAGAATCAACACACATTTAAAATTAAAATCAAGACAATTGTTCAACATGACATTATATCAATTAATAACGTACAATACTTAACTAATTAAGATAAAAGATAATATTTAATATTTAAAAAAAAAAAAAAAAAAAAAAAAGTTACACACACTCTTCCAAAAAGTGTTTTGCCCACAAGTCTCGAATCTCATCTATTTCGTTGATAGAGTACGAATTTTGTTCAAATACCTACAAAATAATTTAATTAATCAAATTATTAAATATGTTAATTAATAAATTATAATTTATTTATACATAGTTCTATTTAATTTCACTTACCTCATCTAAACAGTCAATTGATGAATATTTTGTCACCATCTCATACATGTATCGCAATACATAATATCCACACTCAACACCTCCCGGTTGTTGCGGACACTACAAAATGTATATATATTTTAGTTGTTGAAACAATAAATAAAAAATTGAAATATTATTTTAAAACTTTAATTTTCATACTTTGCATTGCTTCCAATTGCCAGTCCTAGGCCCTCGTCCGTTTGTACGAAGAGATCGAAATGCACTATATTAATTATAAACATGTATAAGAATTTATAAATAATATAATGAAATTTCAAATACTTATATTAATGATAATGTCTTTACTTACATATTCACACAAGGTTTAACTTCAATGGTGCGATTACAAGCCTTGGGATCAAACACATATACGTTTCTTGAACATACGCAAATCACAAGAAGTAACCAATGGTGTCTACATAAAAAACACACATTAAAAGTTTAATATCAAATATTTCAAATAAAGTTATTAAGTTATATTAATAAAGTAAAAGAACCATTTTTCCTTACTCTTGATGATAGGGTGCTAAAATGAATTGTTTGTTCTTGTGCTGGTCCATGACATGAATGAGATATGTTGTAACGGCAGCAGAATTTAAGTTAACCATATCCTCTGAAATCTGAGTTGGACACGCAAACCCAATTGACGTGACTCCAGACTCATTACACAATCGATTAAGAAATCTGAAAATTAACAAAATAAGAAACTTTAATAAACATAAAAAATAAATGTATATAGAACACAAGAATAAATACAAACTTACAATATAAACACTTGTATAATTGAGACGTCAAGCCAATTCATCATCAATAAATCCTGTATATCCTCCATCATCACATAAATATTACTCACGTTTCTATGATGGAAGATTGTTTGATCTATCTCCAAATCAATGTAGTCTTTACCAGAAGGTAAAAATATCAACAAATTGACTAACTGCTTGCAATTGTCCCCCAAATGCTGTAAAACATCATCGCCAACAATTGGAGGTCGTGTACCAATAGTACATACTTCACCACTTTGATTTTCATTTTTTTTATTTTGTCTTGGTGAACTTATTTTGACATTTTCCTACAAATATAAAAGTACAGTTATACTAACATTATTTAAAATATAAACAACAAAAACTAACTTAATAAATAAATATAAAAATGCATACATCATCTAAAATAACTAAATGCATAGGCTATTGTGCAAAACTTGCCACGATTTCTCCCACAATGGAGATGGCATAATACTGAGTTGGCACGGGGAGTTAAAATTCCTCTGCACAACCAACTACCTCACCATCCAAAATTTTGACACAATTAGGTAACAACGGCTAATGATGAACCACAGTCTCATTTATAGTCGGGTGAACCACACCATTTGTAACAACAATTGGTGTATCACCCAGGGCATATTGCAAGACGAAAAGAAAATGATATTTTGATTATTGAAAAACTTCTAATATTACCTTAATTGTGGTAACTGGATATGCATCAATTGAATGACAACTGCTATGGATAGGAGATAGATCAAAAGGCACATGGACACTTTGAGGAGTTCCAACCGAAGCATCTTGTGGAAGTGGATGTGTCGTCGACATGTTCCTCATCAAAATATTGAGTTGCTGGTTGAGGATATCGATCTTGGATTGCACATCTAACACTGTATCTTGCTTGCATTTCTCCATCAATTTTTTGACATCATCAACCGTAATAACCTGTTTTCGCTCTGGTTTACCAAACACATCCCGTATGGTGGAGTATTTACCAACTCCTCTTACAGAACCCGAATAATCTTCCTTACCAAGAGCTGCTGACAATATATCATGATGTCTTTTCGGTTGAAATGACCCTTTACTAACTTCTTCACATTTGTCTACCTGTTCCAACAAATAAGATAAGTCAAGTATTAATATATGAATATTATGTATTATTATGACATTTTTTTAAAAATAGTACTTACAATCTTATGAAACACTTCCTGTGTTTTTTCATTCGGAATGTAATAACTTCCATCTTTTGATTTTTTGACTCTTGCTCGTACCCAATCAAAACTACGATCCTCAAACACCAAGGACGAGCTAATAGATGCACACGAAGGTTGTGAAGATAGAGGGTCTGATATCATCCACTCTAGCCGTTTACCCGCATATCCAGCAGAACCTAAGAAGTGTGGATGCTCATTTAATGCACATCGTTCCCTCGCCTTCTGACGTATTTCCTATAATTTCATCGATATGTTAATATAAATAAAACACTTGAACTACTTATAATTAAATGAGCTAAATATACCTTAAACTGCTCGCTTTCCCGGTCTGCAACAAATCTTGCCCATTGCTCTTCAGTCAAGTAGTCATAAACCTGTACGGGTGATTCATAATTTGGGTGCTTATTGACAACATATTCACGTAGCAATCTACTTTTGAAATCTTTCCACCTCGATGATGCAATTTTCAACACCACATTCTTCTTTGAATCATCTTGAATAGCAAACTCTTTCTAAATAACAACATACACATATGCAATGAGTATAGATAATTATTACTTATATCAATAATTGACAATTTATATAAAGTTATTCAATACCTTAACATCTTTCCAAATCGTATCCTTAATGCATTGATCTACACTATGCCAATTGTTGATGTTGATATCAACTTTTGAACGAACCGAAATCCCAATATAAGACACAAATTGTTTCGAATATGGTCCGATTGGCCTATTGTACTCATCAAATTCAATTGAAACATCTTCTGTCTTCTTCTTCTTCTTCAAATTTTTGCAATTGTTGGGGCCTCTAGTGTTGGGGCCTCTTCTTTTAGGCGCAGACACAGATGTAGGGTCTGAAGCAAAGGTAGATGCAGACTGATCAGACATTGTTGTCTTTGCTTTGTAGATTGAATTAGAAAGTTCATTATCACTAGCAACCATGTCTTTTTGTAATTCTAATAATCCAGTGAAACTCTTATCGCTCCATCCATTCTTTGCTTTTAAATTATACAATTTAAGCGCAGCAGTTAACTCAGTAAAGTTAGTACATCCAGAGAACAAAGGTTTTTCAACATTGTCAAACAATCTTTTAAATTCCGGAGGCATTTCACTAAAATCTCCCTGCACATCATGCATCATTTCATCCATTCGGTCATTATCTTCATCATTCTCATCATTGCTAGCACGAGTTTCATCATTCTCTTCATTATTTGCATTAGTTTGACTATTTGCATGACTGTCACTTTCTGCATGAGATTCACTGTTTACATGATCTTCATTCTTAGTAGCACTTATACTAGGATATAAGTTTTCACCATGCCATACCCATCGACTATACCCTTTCTTAAAACCACGGCGTATCAAATGACTCTTCACTTGCTCAGAACTACGAAATCCTCTCAAATTTTTACAATCACAACACGGGCAGACTATAAATTCTTCGGTCTTTTTACTTTTATTTTTTTCAGCATATTGTATAAACTCTTGAACCCCTTGCATATATTTAAGTGTAGTGCGTTTCTCATACATCCAACTTCGATCCATATCTGTTAATTGATAAAATGCTAATCTAAGTACTGTGGAGATATGTTGGACGCATTTAGAAACGATATTAGGTCATTTAAATTGAAATCAAAGTACTTAATTCATAATCAAAGAACCTAATCCGTACACTTGATACTTGCATATATATATATATATATATATATATATATATATATATATGTCATTTCGAAAAATCAAAATTCAGTTGGTCTTGATTGAGAAGCCTTTAACTTTATGTGAACAAAATTAAAGATCGATCTTAGCAAGTTAGAGGAAATTAAAATTAAGACTTAAGACTGGTAATAAATTACCATCCCTTAAACAAGCTAAGGTATTAATTAAATTAAAGGATGAAAATATAATTCCCTCTGCCAAGAAGCTAGATCCATGATAGATATTCTCACATCTTCCAGAAGCCAAATGTTTTCAAAGTTTGATCTAAATTAAAGGCTGGATTCTGACAGGTTGAATATAATTTAGGCACACCAATCAGATACAAAACTGAACTTTGTATTCTAAATAGATCAGATATATGAACAATGGATGGTAAAGGCTTTAATTTTGGGCTCAAAATGTAAGTACGGTTTCTAGTCAATTGCAAATGGCTATGAATAATTTGAAGACTTTGAGGTAATCAACATAACTTAGGCTATCTTTCATGCTTCCATTAAAAAAATAAAAAAAAATAAAAAAAATAAAAACAAAAAAATAAAAACGCAGATTATGATGCAACTGATTGAGGTAAACAACATAACGGGAAGGCGAAGACAGATCAGAGGAAGCGATTCATGCACAAAAACGGGAATTCAACATACAGATTACAGAAGTAGAGGAATGGAATACCTTAAGAGAGAAAGAGAGAGACAGATCTGAAGGCGCAGCGACGTACGGGGAAGGCGACGGAGACAGATCTGAAGGCGCAGACAGATCAGAGGAAGCGACGGAGACGGTGGTGATGTCTGGCGACGGAGACGGTGGTGATGTCTGACGACGGAGACAAACGGACGGCGACAGATCTGTGTGGTAGCTGTAGGGCGGAAAGTATGTAAGCGACGGCGACGGCGGAGTATATAAGCGAGAGATCGGTTTTACGCTAGGGCCTAGGGGGTTAGATGTGTTTTTACTCGACTTTCCGCGACTCCTTAACTAAGCGGTAGCGCAAAGTTCTTTCTTTTAATTTTTTTTTAATTAATATTTTTGCGACCCTTTCTTCCAAAACCAGAAGAAAGGGTAGAGGAAAATATTTATAATTTTTTTTGAGTTAATTTTATTTTTTATCCTAGATTTATAAGCGACAGTTCATTTTTAGTCTTTTTTATCAAAATATCTACATTTGGTCCTAATATTATTGTGGCATGGTCATTTTTTATTCTCCTTCAACAAAATTGTTGAAATCGTTAAATACAAAGGCATTTTGATCATTTTTATACAAAGTAAGTTGATTCCGCTATATTTTTATATTGATAGGTAAATTCTTTGAGCAAGACAGAAAGCAGCAGAATGGAAGGCTTTGATATGTCCTACCATTGTAACAAAGTTGAAGCGAATTGAGAAAGATGTAACATGTTACTTGGTAACACAATATGATTTCTTCAAGTTTGGTTAGACAATTATATGGGGATCATCAAGAGGTTGACTTGGAAAGAAAAAAAACATTTTCTTGTAGAAAGTGGGAGCTATCTGGAATTCCATGCAAGCATGCAATATGTGCTATTTGGAAAAAATATGGGAAAGGTGCAGTGTTTGACTTTGTCCATCCATGTTACTGAAAAGAAACTTGTTTGAAGATATATAGTGGATGTATCAAACCCAGGGCAGTGGCTTATGTGTGACAGAACCACCCCCCCCCCCCCCCCCAATTGCCACCTTTGTATTCTACCAAGGTAATTAATAATTGCCTACTCATTATCCTTTGTATGTGTAATCTATGAACTTTGATTTAAGTTTTGATGCTATGCAGGTTGGGTGGCCAAAGAAGCTAAGAAAAAAATCAGTTGGTGAATTGAGTTAAGATGAAATTTCAAAATCCATAAAGCATATTCAACTACATTGTTCTCTATGTAGGCAAGTTGGACATAATTCAAGGAAGTGTCCATCTAATCCAAATAAAAATGTATAATTTGATATAGTGTTGCATTAGAATATTAATGGGGAGTATTTTTTTTTTTTTTTTTTTTTAGTTGAAGCCAAAGAAGAGGGTCATTTATGCCACCAAACAAATCCCCATTCCAGTTGCCTTCAGGACAGCACCAGCAATAGGATGACCAAACTGGATTAGGGCAACAACAGCAGTAAGAGGATGACCACACTGGATTAGGATAGCAACAACAGTAAGAGGGGAACCAAAATTACTATGAGGCAATCTAACCGGAAAAAGTCATATTATACAAGAAGCAAGACAATCATGAATTCCAAATTCTTTGGCAACAAGGGTGACCCAATAGACATTGTATGACTGCAAATTAACTTTTGATTGTTTCTATTTTGGAAACTTTAAATTGAATTTGTTGTATTGTAATGGTAAATGCATGTATGTAAACAGTTTAAGTAATGTTGGTCAATGCTTTGAAACATGAAGTTAGTTTGTAGAATTGTCTATCTAGTTTTGGTTAATGAATTTTGTACATTACCAACACTCACTTTTTGGGAATTATAGTGCAGGCTTGGTTAATGAAATCTGTACTCTTGCTTACTAATTGTGTACACTGACCATTTATGTCTTAAAAGATACCAAAACATACATTATCAAAAGATATCATAATTCATACATTACCAACAGATACCACAATTCATACATTACCAAAAGCTACATTACCAAAAGATACCTAACTTCATACATTACACATACAGACCATAATTTGGATCAATCATTACCAAAACCTACAACCAACAAACACTACATATATTACAATCAACACTACTACAACCTTGTTCATCCACTTAAACACTTTGCCATCATCTTTATCACCTTTATTAAGCTTCATATTTAATTTTCGTATTTCTTCATCTTGTCGGTTGATGCGTTTTAGGAATTCCAAAATTATTCGCTTTGAACGATAGCACATTGGAGGATCATACAAATCAATAAATCCACATCCCACCTTTAATTTCTTTGGATTAATTCAAACAATATTTCATAAATTAGCTTCAAATAGCCCGTACAAAAAAAAAAAAAACAAAAAAAACAAAAAAACAAAAAAACAAAAACAAAAAAAAAAAACCTTTAAAAAATTAACTTACAATGCCACCGGAGCTTTCCCAAAATCTACGACCTAGATTTTCATTTGTCCATGAAGTTCGAATTTGCAGTTGCTCACCACATCTACAATGGATAATTGGAAACATTTCTCCAAATTCATAGTACTCACTTCCATCATTAGAAGAACAAGAGGAATACGAATTAGCCATACCTAGGACGAGTAGATGGAGAATGGTTTGTGCGTCTTCTTTCTTCTCTTCCTATTTCTCTTCTTTCTTCGCTTCCTTCTTCTTTGTGTTGTGCGTATTGCTATTCCATCTTCCAGATTTCAGAATGCATATGCAAATTGCCTTTAATAGCTTTCTCGCATCTCACAGATGAATTTTCCCCTTTTTAAAAAAACTTAAATTGGCCGTTTTGCCCCCAAAAATAAATCTCTATCTCTATCTCTATCTCTATATATATTAAAGCAAAATGGTTGGCACAAAAATTTCCCCTCAAAAACTTAGGGGCATTTTTGAAAAACCAAATGCATAATTATTAACTAACCATATAATAATAATAATAATAATAATAATAATAATAATAATAATAATAATAATAATAATAACAATAATAATAATAATAATAATCTTATCTTACTCTATATAATAGCAAAATGTTTTTTGCCAATCAATTTCCCGCCTAAATGAAATTGCACCATTTTAAGGTATTAACTACCAATTAAATGAAATTGCATCATTTTAAGGTATATAATGCAGCATACTTATCTATTTTCAATACATGTTAATCTACAATTATTGTTATTTAATGATGAAGCAGGTAATACATTCCAGTATTTTTAAGTTAACATTTTATTATATAAATTAATTTATTGTTTACTGAAAAAAAAATTAGAGTATCCGATTTTAAAAAATAAGATTAACCTGTTTTTTTATTCTTACAATTTTGTTGATCAACAACAATTTAATTGTTCATTCTAATATAGTTTTGAGAGGGAATTTTTTTTTTTTTTTTAAAGTAATCAGTTACTAAATTGAAAAAAAGTTTTTTTTTAAAATTTAAATCAGTTGCATGAACAATAATATTGGAGAGACGAGTAAGTTTAAACAAATAATTATTGAACTGGTATTAAGTAATTAGAAAATATGATGTATTTCTTAATTTCGTTTTAAACAATAAGTTTTACCTGAAGATGATACTGTATTTATTAGTTTGTTTTAGATCTGCTCCGGTCACCCGATTTTTCAGATCGGCATTTGGGGAAGAAAGCAATTCCACAACGGCCAAAAGCTACGGTTAGATTATCTGAAAAGTTTTTTAGCAGTGGATTACTTGGACGTGCAATGATTTAAAATCGAGTGTGTCAAGAAGCCGGAAACAGAGAAGGTTCGCGTAAGTCAGTGAACATTTTAGAGAGAATGACGAATGGAACAAAGTAGACGGAAGCGCAATCTCAAAAAATATGGATTAGGGTTTGGTAATCAGGTTTTATAATTGGGTTAATGGGCTCGGGTATTGGGCTGAAATGCAACGTAACTGGGTTATATGGATAGATAATTAAATGTTTATTGGGCTTAGCATTGCATGTTTTATTTTTTCTTTCATGTCATGAAATATTTCATATTTAGTTTAGATTTATATATGTTGTGTTGGTGATAATGAACCACAATCGATTTAATATCCGTAAAATAATATTTATATATATACACACGAAATATATATAAAATATTATTGGATATATATCCGAAATATATATATACACACAAATATATATAAAACGGATCCAACGGTTATATATACATGTATATCTACGAAAAAGATATATCAATATATATCAACCAAAAAGAAAATATAATCCTTAGATTATAGTTCCAAATCAACAAGAAAGAACGGATTTTTGCTTAGAGCATAATCCAAAAACAAGAAGAAGGAGAAGGAAGAAAGATTCGTACGAGTTAGGCAAAGTGCCTGTCTTTCCTTAAAACCTTATTTGCCACCTCCCAAAAGTGCTAGGAGCGTTGTGGCCTAGGCTTCCCAGGATAAAACGTACAACGGTTCGACGTTTGAGCACCCAAACGAACGAACCCGGCGAACAAGAGCACGGGCAAAAGCACAGCTTCAAGAATGGAGTAGAAGCAGAAGTATTTTGAGGCTTGGAAAAATATCTTTCTTGTGTGTTGTTGTTACTTTTTCCTTAGAAAAATTCTGCTGCACTCTACCCCTTCTTATATAGGGATTGAGGAGTGAATAGCCTTTATTATGGCATTTAGGGGCATCCCTACAACTCTTGTAACAGCAACCATTAAATGGGTATTAATTCAAATTAAAATTGGAATTAACTCAAAAATTAATTCCATAACAGCTGAATTAAATCCCAACAGTCACAAACAAAAGCTTCAAGCCAAACTTTCTGCCTAAGTAGTAGTTTCGAAACCACTACTTTCGGCTTCGGCCAAGGGAGCCACGCGAAACCTTGTTTCATGCATTACATTGTTTCATTCATTCGTGGTGGCCCACAGTGAAACATTATTTCATGCATTACAATGAAACATTGTTTCATTCTTATTATGTGGCCTTACAGTGAAACCATTGTTTCACTTTATTTCATGGTGGCACACGAAAGAATTATTTCATTTCGTGGTGACACGAAACAATGAACCCTTTCATTTCGTGGTGACACGAAATAGTGAAACCAAGAACCAAGTTTCATTTTGTGACTGAATTGGAAAATGACACCGACCGGTCAATTTTCAGACGACATTCGTGCACACGAGATTAAGCTTTATCCCAGCCTTTTTGATCTCATTCTGGGATTTGATTTGCACTCTCTCCCGCGCGTGAAAGAAAGCCTCTATGTTATACAATTCAATGAGCTTAAAATGAGCTCTTGTATAAATAGTGGGGCAAATCCTCTTCCCAAACCAATGTGGGACAAAAGCTCACTTTTTCCCTTCATTTTCCAACTCAAACGGGTTTACTTTGAGAATCAATATCTCATTCACCCATTATCCGTTTTGAGCGTACAATATATCAATCTCTTCGTCTCACTACGAAGAACCCGAATCCACTTTGACCCGACCCAAAGCGGAAGTGGACCCCACTTATAATTGTACCACAAAATAGCCACTTAATATGCCATCTTATGCCATTTTAAGCCATTTTTTCCAACAATCCCCCACATGAATGAAAAATTGATTTTCAGGGTATTTTGAAATCGGAAACAACTGTGTTCAACGGTCGATCCCTGCATAGGATAGGTAGGGATCACTATACCCTTTGAACCTTCCCTTGTAAAGATATGTTTACTCTACTGGTTGTACGGTAGAACGCGATGTCATTGAACCGACTGCCGTTTGTGTAGACGATGACATATCTCACACAAGAACCTCCCAACCATGCTCTGTTCTCATGAGTGTGCCCATTTTGGTCGTGGGTCACCGTCCTGGTTCTGCAAGAGTTTGTGAAGAATTGTGCCCATCAATTCTCCTTTGAAGCGACCCTCACTTCTCTCTCACATAGGTGATTCTTTTCCGAGTATCCCGCCTACTCACACATGTCAACCGACATTCGAATCATTAAAGCATCAACATGCTAATCTTGGGCGGGAGTCACTGTTCTAACGAGGAGTGGTAGGGAGTCCGAGACCCCCACAGTGACACGCTCCGTTCCATAATTTAGTTGTCCCATTGAACCTAGGTGCCAGCTAGGTTGGGTATCCACTATAGAACTTTTAGTCCAAAGGCTTTAGACCCATTCCTCGTTCCAACTTCTCCACAACCATTTGCTTACCCTCGGGTTAGCGAGTTAGCGGCCGCTACGTTATCTTTTGACATCACGTAGTCAATAGAGATAACCCTTGTTGTGAGAAATTGTTTAATGGTATTATGTCAACGACTTATAAGTCTAGACTTACCATTCCACATCTAACTTTGTACTTAACCAATTTTGGATTGACTATCGCAATGCACACAAATTGGAGGTACGAGTTTACCACTAGGAACATTCTCGAAATAACGGCATAGCCAT